GCTGTGCACCTCGGCCTCCCCTCGCCTTGTCCTACCTCCATTTACGCCTGACTGGTGTTATTACTCTCCAACACATCCTCTCCTCATCACTAATTCTCCGGCATTACTCTGCGGTACTCCCATTATCTCATCTCATTCTCCGGGGTCTACGCTAGAGTGGGATCCCTCGACCGTTCTCATCAATCCTTGGTACGCCGAGAAATGTATGCCCGCTCCTCACCCAATTCGTTTATCACCCCGGTGCTTTTTCCATATATGTACATGCCTCCAGCCTCGAGTTGTCTCGCCGCGAATTCTACCCTCCTCGAGACCGGCGATTGTCTTCCTCGAGACTCTGTACCACATCAACCTTCTCACTATACTTCTCTTTAATCAAGGACTTCAACAAATCGTGCCACTGAATTTATTCCCCTCTGCGCAACCAACTCCGTCGTCCCTACCCCTTAATCAACTGGACATTTTTTGACACCCCTTGGGAATGAACGTCTTCGCGACGGTCGATATCAAAGCTCAATCTAAGGCTCTCGTTTAATCAAGACTCTCAAAGTGCAATCTTAGACTGAATTTGCCGCCTTTTCAACTGGTGCTTGGATAAAGTCCTCGAGGCGAACCCGCCACGGAATCTCCTAACACGTTCCGCGCGTTCCACCCACATCCATCCTGTAGCCGCCACCCGACCATTGCAAGTGAAATGCTCGGATGTACCCGCGTTGTTTAGAATCCTCCTCAACACGTTTAAACAAGAAAAATGGATTTTCTACGTACCCTTACATTACAGCATTATTGTTTTAAAAAATCACGATCTTTATTGAAGATGCTGTAAACCATTACTAACAAGCTTCAAAGTTCAGTCATACATACTATTTATGATAATCGCCTCATTTCAATTCAATCACCAATCCAATCCAATCATAGAATCACCTCAGCTCCCCGGACTCCCTACATTCAAAACTTACACTTTCAGAGTCTGTTTGTATACATATATTCATTCTACATGCCCTGAGTCAACCATCTACGCTGCTTCTTTGTACTACTCTAAACTGCGGCGGGTACTATAATTTTGATTTCGCTCAACCTCCTGAGAGGCGCTGCACAATCTAGGCTTTAGAGTCAAATCTGAATTCTACACTCATACTCCGAATAGTCGAGTTGGTCTCGAAGTCGAAATCACATTCTTTCCACCCACCCACCAGATTACGCTTTCCTTTCACCTCGCCACTTCCTTCCGGCCACCATCACCGTGGCTACTCTGGCGAGCACCCAATACCCGCGAGTGGTTCGTGCGGTCAATGCGGGATTTACGCAACCTCTGATCAACGATAACCTCACGAAATTACCTAGCGATATCGATATCAAGGTTCAATGCGCTTGTTAAATGATACATTGGTACTTATTACATACTGCTGACTTGATGACGCCCGCTATTCATCGAATCAGGATTTATTTAAACTTTGTACATGCTTTCCTTGTTACTCTTTAGCCAGATGCCCACTTGTCTGCATTCTACGCGCGTAAGTGCCATTGTTCGGTCCGCTGGGATTCAGATTCTGGATGACAGACAGACAAATGGCGAGGCGGGATCAGCATCAGTATCAGTATCATTTTCTGTCCTATGACTTAACTTTCAGACAAGCGTGGCGCTCCGGTGTCATATTAGTGAAGTTGACGATTTGTTGGTTTAGACACGGGAATACTTCATGATTTTCGGATCCTGCTACAATGTCATTTTGATTTCATGCCGGCCACGGCTCGCTCACCATTGGATTCGGCCAATCTATTATCGGCATCCTCTTTCAGAGAGGTATGACCCCGAATACACATGGGCGTGCTATAAATAGAATCACCCACCTGCCTTTGAACAATGCTTGGAACGTACGCTAAATTTAAACTTACGCAGAGAATTAAAAAAGACTAGACGTTTCCTGTTTGAGTTGATATCTTTATGGGAGCGGCAGCGAGTCCAGCATGCTTCTGCCGCGTTGCGAGGTGGAGTTAGTTGATTGTATATTTTTGAATGGGAATGAGTAAGGATAACTGCGGGATGGGGAAATTTGCTATTTGAGGTGCGTTCAACACTGACCTTCGAATTCGCATGGTCAAATAAATTCTGCGACACTTGAGAAATTTTCTTCGGGCTCAGGATATACGTGGCAGTTACTCTCAGCTCGAGCTTGGAGGGGTGGGTGCAAGGCAGTGAGGGCTGCCTTTCCCTAGACTTCACTAAACTCCGCCCGACGTTCTATGATTCATGATTCTGTTCTACAAGGATGAAATCAGAAAACAGCTTCTCGACCCGGAAAGGCTGCCACTAAGACTCGTCCCGGTTCCTATCTTAAGTTCTCATGGATGGGCATCTTTTCGATCTGCTCACGTTCCTATAGAACTACGAGTCTCTTCGTTTCTCTCGTACATTAAACAGATCACATTCAAGCTATACTTCTAGCTCTAGCTATAGAAAAGGAAGAATTTGCAAGACGGTCCAGGACTTCAAGAGCGCACGCGTGGAATTTTAATCTTCTCCAAGACGCTACGGTAAATCTCTATAACCAACGAGCGTGATAGCGCCTCTTCCAGACTCCGCTACTTGGCGCTCGTGATTTAGCTTTAGATGTCGGATTATCTCCTATGTTGCCTATAATATTATCTCGCGAGGCTCAAGCTTTCAGCCTTTCAAACTTCAAGCACTGGCTATTCCCCGAACGGCGCTCTTCTTCAAGGCAACCCTGATAACGAAAGTCCGGTATGAATTTAATTGTACGTTAAATATCTAATTCCGACACACCGACTTGGTATTTATCCAGATGAGTCTAAAAGTCTATCTTCAATAAAACGAACAAGAAACTCTCATGATAGAGATAGATATCAGAAGCAATGTACATGCTCACGCTATGCATCGCCTTCATTTATTTCTTAGATACTACCGACAGACTACAACGTTCAGAGAACTCATTCGGTTAAGTGATGATCATAAGAAGGGTATTCTAGACCGGCGTGGGCTGAACAGTGTTGGGGTCCTAGGAAGGTTCGTCTGGCGGGCTCTAAGGCCGTTCTGAATCACGAAAAATGCGAGGAGATCGTAGGATATATTTATATCATCATAGTCATAGTCATAAGTACTACTCGAGTAGTTCGAGAGGTGTGCTAATATTGTACATTGGTTGTGACCGAGTCTAGTAAGAGAGAAACGAGAGAAATAGGAATCCAAGGGAAGTGGTGCATCACTGTTACTCGTCCTTGGGGTTGCTGTAGAAATTTCTTTCATGTTTACCCTCGAAATTAAAGAGCAGCAGGAATCATTCCGCGAGCAGCTTGCATCCAGTACGCAAGGAGTTCAATAGCATTGATTTTTGAGTCGTATCCTCGTATCTGGATTCCATTGAAGGAAGAGATACGGCTCTCGATCGCATCGGTGACGATAGCCTCGGTATAGTCGTTGCTAAAGGTCCCAAACGCCCAATACAGGTAGTTGGTTAGAACGAACTTGTAGCCGCGGCCTTTGCAGCAGTCATGGATCTGTGAGGGGATGTTGGTTTGGAGTTAAGGATGAAATATGAGAATACTCACGACAGCCCAGAGAATATCTGATGCTCTGAATTCCTTACTGTCGAGAGTATCTAGGTCATGGTTATTGAATTCTTGTATGTTTGCGAACTGAGCGAAATCATAGACACCAAACATCGTAGGAGGAACAAATACAACGATGACAGGGGCATCATTGAATGAATCTGAAGGCTATCAGGCGAGAAATCATGGTTAGGATATAAGTTAAGCCTTCGAGAAACGGACATACCAAGGCAAGGATCTCCCACCGAGCACGATGAGCAGAGCAAAATTCGTTCCTGGACTTGAAGAGAAGCGTTTTGGAGAGAGGAGCATCAAGAGGAAGACACTGCATAACCCGTACAGCTTCGCTGACAGTTCCAAGGACGTAATCCTTCAAAACCATGAGTAAATCTTCTTCATGGCGGAGATTTTTCAATAACTCGTAATCCTCTTTGTCGTACTCGATCAGTCCGTCACATGGTAAACGGAGGCGCTGAGATTCCTCTGCGTCTACGCCAGTTTCATTGTGGATGAACAGGAAGTCGAACTTGTCGAGATCTAAATGGAGCAAGTGAGCGGGGCGACGAATTGATGGACGAGAGAGACTTACAACTGCGCGCGGTAGCCATGATCTGCTTTGTATCAACTCTACCTACCTTCTTCAGCGTTCTAGTCCCCAGTTCACGTCGCAGAGTAGGGTATTCAGGCCAGTTAAAAGCCCAGGCTAGGTTCTTCAACTCAGCGGCACTGCCCAAGTTATGGCCTGACACTTGGACAAACTCTGGAAGACGAGCACCTGCGATGTAATCGCGTAGGGCGAACTTCATGAGCATCTCATCTTCCGAGTCCGAGTCCGAGTCTGAGTCGCTATCATAATCTAGACTCATGCATCTAGCTGGAAGGGGTCTGCGACGTTGCTGGGACATAGCTGGGGTTGATGGTAGAGTTGAAGGCGACCTGAGGACTGAGAATGAAACGTTGATCTGCTGGAGGAATTGAGAGCTACAATGGCCGATTTATATTGCTGGAGGAGCGTCCAAGCAGGCCAAGGTCAAAGCTGAGGATGCTTGCCGACGGGTCATAGCCAGGAGGTAGTAAAGTGTCTTAATGTGAAGAACAATGCTCCATCATGCGGCATGGTTACAGTGAGCCAGTGGGGAGCTTGAGCTTGGGCCACTGAGTGGCCACAGGATCGGGATTGTCAATTGTTCGTTGAGTATATTGGTATGGTATTCACTATAAAAAATGTTGGGCATTGCTTCATTTGAAGTGCCAAGGATGACCGCAATACGAGGAATTTGAACGCATAGCGACTGCTATGTCGTTATAAGTGGTAAATTTTCGAGTGGTTCCAGCTGCCATTAAGAATAAGTATTCGAAAGGCTACGGTGGCAGTGTTCCACCAAAACCGGGAGCACATTAGTATGATATTGTGACCGGAGCTTCCGTCTCCAACGTCTCTGTTAGTATATCGGTTAGTACACGCGCCTGTCATTATGGTTGAATGTACTCGTTATGACCGCGCGAAAGCTGGGTTCGACTCCCAGACAGAGAGTTGTTTTGCGGAACATTTTATTGTATAATCTTAAACTGTGCTGCCTTCGATTTTTCTGTTTCACATATTTTACGATGGTTGAATCCATAACACTACTTATAACGACTTCTAAATTGTAATCCTTATTCACACCGGGCGGAGAAATAAATAGAAAACTCAAGAAAAAAATGGGTATTGGCATAACCACGACAATCGCAGGTCATCAAGAGTATAAAAAACAAAAAATACAGAAAATCATCATATTAGCTAGCCGCGTATACTTAATGGGTATGTTCTGGTATCAGCGCTTCCATTGGTGGGGCATTTGCATGAGGCCAAATGGTCATCATAGCAAGGGTACGAGAAAGTTCTTCCACTCCGCTCGATCCACGCTCAACCCCCTGCATCCATTCTTCCTGTCGAATCCACACTCGTATCAAATTAATCGAGGCGTCTGTTGAAGACACCAAGAGGGAGTCGGACGATGGGCATCTCTTCTGTAGCGAGGAGCTCGCTGAGACCGATGTAGTAGGCGACCATAGCGGTGATAGCACCAAGAGCACCTCCAGCTTTGGTGGCACTAAGAATACAAGATGGGTGAGATATGGATCAAAAAAAACAAAACTGGAGGTAAGACGTACCCAGCACTGGCAGTGAATTCACCAGCAGCGAGGAGAATGAAGGTGATAGCGAGGAATGCGAACAAGGTGATGAAGGCGATGTTCTTGCGCAGGGCTGCGATGCTATTAAAGTTTGGGTTAGCGCCCATAACCAACCAAAGAAGCAACCAACTCCGGTGTTCAAATCGAATCGTCATGGAGTGGAAGGACGATCGACCATCGGATTGGAATTTATTAATGAAAGAGACACTCACAGTAGGAAGAAGGTGACCATGAACCAGGTGATCAGATAAATTCCAAGGGCGCTGTGCAGCTCAGGCGCATCCGCCTCAGTCGGGAAGGCGGCAAGGACACCGCTTCCGGGGATGAGGATGGTGGCATAAGACATCCAAAAGGCACCGTAGGAAGTGAAAGCTATTCATAGAACGAAGACGCGTCAGTCTCAAGCTATTGATGGAACAGGGAAGTGAAATGAGATGGTGCCAAGGCCTGGCAAGGGACTAAGCACGATTGCCCAGCCAAGGGCTGTCGGCTAGATACAGCATTCGATGCCAATGATAGTCCATTGACGCCATTGCATATGGATAGTGCAGACGTGCCCCTTGTGGGGTATGTGGAGAAGGAAGATCCAATGAAGAAAGATGATTTGTAAATCGCGGAACTCGCATGGCTACCCGCCCGTCATCCGCCCGCCGATGCACGTTATCAAGCGTCGCGCCAAAATGAGAAATTCGCGGTGGAAAAATTGGCAGACGAGCTCGTGAATAAATGCAGACAGGAGAAAGAAGGGGAGGAAGAAGGATGCTTGTAAAATGAAAGCGGATAGATTGCTTACCAGTAGCACCGAAAACGTTGCCTCTGGGGAATTCCCACATGCCAGCGAGTAGCTGCGCGAGACCACCGCAGAAAATGGCCATACCGACGACGACATTGGCATGCGTGATGCTTCGGGTTTGCAGATTGTAAAGCGAGAGTATCAGCGTCGTCGACGCGAAAGAGAATAGGCCCCTATGGAAGTCCGATGGTTAGGACCATTCGGTTACGGGTGAAAAAAAGGCAGGTCGGCACGTACAGAGTACCAGGATTTCCTATGCGCGACACTGGTGCAGCATAGTTGTTGACACCGCCGTTGCGACCACGGTTAAGAGCCTGGCTGGGTGTAGTGGCCTCAACACCTCCCTTCTCGACGTCGTGAACAGCAGCCATGGAAAAGAATGATGGTAGTGGGTTAGGGGGGATGGGTCGGCAGAGGTGGGTCAAAGGTGAGCAACGAAGGATGCCGCTCCGTTCAAGGGCGGACTATTTATGTTCCAAGCGGCACTAGCATTTTTGCCAGGAGTGTATTGAATGGCGCAGATTTTGGTTCGCGGACCTTGATCTTGCCCAAATCCGGTTTCGGGATGAGGCCGTGATCAGCTTTCGATCATGAGGTGACTTTTCAATCTTGTTCGGTGGGGCCGCTTGTCCTCCGCATCAATATTTTCAACATCTTCCCCATCTGCCCAGCAGACTTGTTTACATTCTACCTTCGTCCTGATCTCATGGAATGCACCCACATATATTCTATAAGCGACAGAATGCCGGACCAAAGTTAAAAATTCTTCCAACTTTCTCAACTTTGTGCTGCGCTTTCGACACGATATTCGCGGAAGCGATGTCTAATATGAAGCCTATTCTGTACCGGACGCTATACTACGAGTTTCGAAGACATCGAACCCTAAAACTAGGAGAGATTTCCCGACCTTAGACCGTTAACCGATTTTCTCATCAAGGGCGAAAAAGTAAGCAGCGCTGTTCGCTGAGGTTCGTCTAGTTTATAAATCGACTCAGCTTATTCACGTTCCCCTTGGATTCTCTTGGTCAATACAATGCGGGGTACGATGCGGGGAGGAAAAACGTTCTATGAAGTCTAGAGCTGGAGAGCGGGGTCGCATGATATTTTCAAGCTTGCGGATGAGCACATATGCATTACGAAACCCGAGCGTCCATATGCGGTAACTTCGCATTGACGGCTATTAAACGGCGTCGCGCACACCTGATCAATGATGAACGATAAAAATAGAATGTGTTGACAGTGTACATAAAAAGGAGACTGCAAGGACACGTCAAGACGAAAATTACATGGATGCTAACCGCAACGTACGCGAATCTGTTAGCTCGCACATCTTCCTATCCGCTTCCATCATCTAGCAGTGTCTGCATTCTTTGCTCGACGCTTTCAGCAAGGAAGAGATCTCTTTTAGCATGAATCAACAGCGTGTAGGAGCTTCTCGAATTCGATTTAACGCACGCCATCCATTGTACCGTACAAGCACACCTAATATGGCTCATGAAACCTTTCAGCTCAAACATTTACGGCGTATTGTGGTTTCCGTACCTGCTTCCTATAGAATTTTCGGCGTCGAATTTCGTCTTCCCTGGAGTCACCTTGGAGATTATACCCTCCATCATGCTTCATAGACGCGCCCTTCCATAGAAAATGATCCTCATAATAGCGGGTAATTCATTTCTAGGGCTCTTTCAAATAAACTATAAATAATTAATGTGCTGGTAAAATTGAATGTATCTTACCTTGATGCCTTTAGGTGAACGTCTCGAACATGTCAAGCATGCGAACTAGTGGTGTCGTCGGACAGAGGAGCTGAAGAATTCCACGTCGGACAAGGAGTAAATTTTCGATCGAGTGAAACGGCTTTGAAAATAAATAGGAAAAGAGCACAGCGGTGGGTTCGATGCAAGCATCGAGGCAGATACAGAATGAATAGATGGAAGAAAAGCAGCTCAATGAACTGAGGGATTGGTAAATCTGTCGCATTTTTATCCTTCCCAACGTTTGCAGTTGACAGTAGACTTCAGGTCTATTAATAGATTGACTCCTGTGGTACGATTTTGACCAGTTATGTTATGTTCTCCTATTCAGTCACAATCACAGAATTCATCAACGTACGCCACTCGTCGGAAAATTAACCCAAAACCTCCGACGACGATATAAGCCGAGGATGGTTCGACTATCGTTAATAGAGAGGCGACGCTCTAACTAGCAAGCCCCGTCAGGCTCGGATGTGCGCAGCTGCTTCTCAGTGTATCCGGAAGAGAATTAGTAAACAATGTTGGTATCAATCAACCATTGTATTGGCTATCATTCAATCACCGAGCACAGAATGCGCGATTTCGCATATTTACCGGCTAAGAATGAGGGTGAGCATATGGAGGAAGATCGACTCATCAGCTTCTCGTCCCACGTTCAGGGATGTTCGAGGCGCGATTTGATCGTCTAGATGCAGAGACGATAGATTAGGTCAAAGAATTGCAGCGTTCAATTTTCAGTGCGGATTTTGGTCCGATATGGATAAGAATGAACGTTTGCAGTGGTCCATGCTCCCTGCAAATGACGCGGTCAAGAGCAAAGGGAAGGCATGAGATTATTTGGTGCCAATGCTGATGCCGGCTGTTCCAAGCGAGGCTAAATAGAACCTACGTCATACCTACTTGACTTGTCTGAAAGCCAAACATCGACCGATTTTGCTACCGAGCGCAGTGTTAATCAACTTACCCAGTGCATATAAAATATAACAGCCATTTCAAGAAATAAATAAATAGGTATAGGACATTTTACCACAAAGTGTAATTTTACAACCATACAAAGCTTGTTCTCGTCGGGATGTCCAAATTCTTTGCAATGATTTGCATATTCTTTCCACCCTCGGTTCTTTGTAGAACAATGACTCCTGCCGAGCCAGCAACGCCACTCGCGATCAGATATTGGTCTCCATTCTTGTCTGCGGGGCCGAATTCCATACCCCTTACTTGATCCAATCCGGTGAATACTTGGTTGACGAGCTTCAAGCCTTCACTTGATGTCCCCTGATTGACGTGCTCGAAGATAGCGATGGAATCGCCACGAGGATCCTGAACACCCGTATTTCTGTTGGATACGTAGATGTAGGGGGTGGGGAATTTGGTTGTCGGTGCCGGAATCAGAATTTCGCCTGCTGCGAACATGGCACCCGCTGGTGGATTAGGTGGGAGAATTGATGCACTAGCGATGATCGACGCGGTTCCATTCGGTGCCTGTGGGATGGTCTGAACTGTTAATGTAGAGGCCAACTCGTGAAGTGTATATAAGCGCTCATCTGATGATGAGATTAGATTTTAGCTGAATATAGAGCGGCGTAAATATTTATAGCACATAGACTCACTGTAAATCGCGATGTGTCGTGGTCCGCTACCTTGAGGTTGTGGAATAGAGCCTTGGATCTTGAAATTTCCAGGAGATCCGTCCTGGACGAGTCGCCAGATCATGTCTCCTCCCTGTAGATTGTGACATGTCAGTTATATTCGAGAGCTACAATGAAAGACTATATTACCAGATCAGGAACGAGAACTTCGCTGCCATGCTCG